CCAGAAGTCTGTTTGCTGTGAAAGTTCTGTTTCTTTGGAGGGAGCTTTTCAACGGCACAAAGGGGAAATGAATGCCTACTTAACCGTTGGGAGTCTAACTTAGCTGTTACCACCCAAGAAACATCGCGGAGTCATCCTGGAGAATTCTCTGTTCAGTGGACAGCGGTAGTCCAAAAAAACCGAGCAATGTTGAGACCCATAAGGAAGGGGATAGATAAGAAGGTAGAAAATAGAATGTAACTCAATACATCCACAGCTGTAACACTGCGTGCCATTCTGACTGCCATTCTGACTGCTCCATCTAGAAAAAAAAAGTATACAAACTGGAAGAAAGTATACAGAAGGGCTACAAAATTGATTTAGGGGCATGGAATAGCTTCCCTCCGAGGAGAGATTAAAAAGGCTCAGACTGTCAGGGTTAGAAGAGAGGCGACTAAGGGAAGCTGGGATAGAGGGCTATAAAATCATGAGTGGTTTGGAGGAAGTGAATGGGAGACAGTTATTGCCCCTTTCATACGACATAAGAACTGTGGTCACCTAATAACGTTAATAGGCAGCAGGTTTAAAACAAACGTAAGGAAGTACTTCACACAACACAGGCAGCCTGTGGAAGTCGTTGCCAGGAGATGCCGTGAAGGCCACAAGTGTATCTCTAATTGCCAGGTGCCAGGGCTAGATGACAGGGATGGATCACTAGATATCTGCCTCGTTTTCTTCCTTCTGCGCAGGGATTAGTGGGGAATGGGCCATGTCCTCCTTATTCATCCAGAGATGAAGGATGTAGTCTAGGGACCATCTAGCTGCCCTCAGAAGGAATCTCCCCCACTCTCCCTAGGGTTGCCAGGTGTCCAGTATTGATCCGGACAGTCTGGTATTTTCACCTCCTGTCCGGTAAAAAAAAATTCAGAAAATACTGGACACCTAAAATGTTGGGTATTTTCTGATTTTTTTTTTTCCCGGCCAGGAGGCGAAAATCCCAGGTGCTTACCCGGTTCTGCAGGGGAGCTGTCTGGCCTGGAGCAGGAAGACAAGATGGTGGATGGCCGCCAGCAGCGTGTTAGGGCCAAAAAGCAATTCTTAAAGGGAACCACACTTTTTTTAAAAAAATAATTTTTAAACTTTTTTTGCTTAACAGTTTTGGTCTCCCCATCTTTTTTTCCCTCAACAGAATTTTTTCCCTGGTGGGTTGTTGTTGGTTTTTTTGGTGGTGGTGGTAGTGGTGGTGGGGTTTCGGTATTTTTGGTTAAACCATCTGGCAACCCTAGCTCCCCCCACCAGTTACCAACACCCTCCAAGGAAACAGCAGATTTACAGAGAAGTCTCATGGTGAGGCAGGAGGGGGCTGTGGGTAAGTATTTTATATCCATGGTGAAAACAGTTATAGCTACTGGCCTTCACTCTAGCACAGGGGAACTGCTCTGAGGGATGGTTTTGATGCCGTTAAGAGAAAGACAATGCAAGGTATAAGACCAAGAAGTTTGTATTGTTTTAAAAGGAATAGAAAGAGGAACTGGCTGATATATTGCTGACCAGGGTTTCCGGGCGGGAAACTGCACTTCTAATATAGTCTGTTCTGTAGGGAGTACGAAATGTTTCTCTTTGACCGTTAAATCCCAGGGATTATAGTGTTTACTGTGTACAGCAGAGAAGATGATGTGTCGGGCTGATGTTAATTCAGTATCAGCGATCACACAGCATGGAAACCACAAGTAACACCCGGTGGCTCTGAAGTCGGATGCAATTTCTAAGGTGTCATACCACACAGCGTGGAGAACAGGAGGTGACTTTGTGGTGTTTAAGAGATTACAACTGTGTACCAAAGGGGAAAGAGAGTGGAGTTTGCAGTTAAAACTGAGTTCATTCGGAGGTTTCCCTTCAGTTGTCCTGGAAGTTTGGAAGGAATTCATACTGCTCCCCATTATACAAGATTTGTATTTTTAAAGCATTTTAGAACTGAAATATCATCCGAACTAAAATGGCTGGCCAAATATTCCTACTTTGTGTATCCCATTGGTTAACGAACGGGTGTGGCACACTGAAAATGGCTGGGTTTGAACTGTGTACTCTAGTTAGGTATTCTTCATTATTATTTAATATTGGACCTTGCCTCTCAATTCAGTTTTAGACCAGTGTGATTCGATTCACTTCAGTTGAGTTACTCTGGATTCACCAGAGTGAAAGTGAGAGCAGGGTCAACCATTTGGCTTTCGGTGTTATTCAGTCTGAGGGGTCACCATGTTAGTCTGTCACTTAAAAAACAAGTAGATACTTATAACAGCAATAGAAAATGTACCTGTCAATTGTAGGACCGGTGCTAATTAGGCTAGGTGGGTTGGAAGTGTCCGATTCTTAGCTTTTGAGGTTAAAATGCAGTTGTTAAAGGCAGGGGAGACTGGCTTTATAATGCAACATCCAGTTGATGTCTTTGTTGAAGCCCAGTTCATATTCAGCTCGGCTGTGCTCATTTCAGAGGTAGACTTGAGTATTAGAAGAACAAAATTCTCTTCACTGCCACATGCCACCTCCTGAACGTATCCCATCTCTCTTCCATCTAAGTGTCTAGGCACAGAGTAGACTAGGCCAATTTTTTTAATTTCAGTGGGAGTTTTAATGCAGTTGTCAGGGAGTGGCATCTCATCCCAGCTCATCTTCTTGCAGTGGGATGTTTAACTCTTCTTTGCGACGCTGTTCAGCATGCGCTTAAGTGAACAGAGATGAATTGATGCGCATGATGAAATGCATAGCTGAATCAGGGCCTAAGTGTCTTTAATTCAGATGCATGTTTGTCAGGTTTAGATTTTTAATTGTTTTAATGAGCTAAAACTAAATGTATCCTAAGAAAAGGAATTTGAAGCCTCAAAAATGGTATTTGACTGTAGGACAGCACAGCATGCAGAAAGAGATGCCTACAATTAGATACAACAGACACATTTTCTTCTTTTCTCCAAAAATGTATTAGAAAGAAACAACTGGTTAATTACTTTCTCTGTGCTTCCTTGAGCCTGAACCCTTCAAAGCAGAGAATTCTTCTTTCTTTTTTCTTTCCGCCTTCCAAATTGACATATGCCTTTGAATTGTAATTTCCATGCTCGCCATGTGAAATAGAGAAATTTCTTTTAAAAATACTTTGGAATAGTATTTTCAAATTAAAATAGATGTTCTTTCATTATGGAATTAATTGCATGAAGCCAGGATGAAATCAGGTATAAATAGACCTTCCAAAATGTTGTTTCTTCTCTTCTTCCTGTTACGTATTTTTTTTAAAAAAAATCTCTGGAGACCTAACTCTGGTATTTGATGCAACAGAGGATACCCACTGGCATTTGTAATACAAATCAGTAGGACTTTTTTACTTTCAGCACAATAAGGTCATTATGAGTCCGCAGCACTTGCGTTGCCTTGGGCGATATGTATTTTGAAATACCAGCATGGTTCCTGATTTTTTAATAAGGAGACAATTGTATGAGAACAGTGACAAATTAGCAGCACTAATCTTCCAGTGACCTACCTACCAGCACTAAAAAAATAGCCTGAAAGTATAATGATCAACTAAAATGTTACAGTATGAACAAAAATACGGAGTCCAGTCATAGCTATGTCTCTGTTGGTGTAGTTCCTTTGTGGTAAATATAGGTTGAACCTCTCTAATTCGGTTCCCTTGGGACCTGACTGGTGCTGAACCAGAGAATTTGCCAAACCATGGGAGGTCACTATTGTCTAGCAGCATGACCAACACTTCCACCGATTAATGGGCTCTTAGAAGATATATAAGGGTAAATAAGCGCTAATTAACAGCACAGAACACTGAGCGCTAGGACTGGCGGCTGTAAACAAACTTTATGGGATCATGGGAAATGTGGCCACACCCATAATAAGTGGACATCTCGCTAACTAAAATCATGCTGGATCACGGATGTTTCCACACCAGAGTGTGCTGGACTAGACAGGTTCAACCTGTACTATAATAAATCATCCAAAAACTTGACTCTATTAGGTCAACTCTGCTTCTATTCTAGAAATTCTGTTCTTGTCATGGAAAGGGTTGCATATTACAGATGGAATGAATGTTGGTATTTTCTCCAAGCAAGGGATCTAATCTAACTTCGCAAACCATTTTCTTTCTTGCATGGGTAACTTCTAGATTGTATACTACTTCCATGGCTTATATCATTTGACCAGGATAACATTCTCTGTCTGTAAATAGGTGACAGGGGAGAGATCACATGAGGGTTACCTGTTGTGTTCCCTCCTTCTGGGGCATCTGGTAGTGGCCATATTGGCAGACAGGATACTGGGCTAGATGGATCTTTGGTCTGACCCAATATGGCCATTCTTATGTTCTTATTCTGTGGCCTATGCCTATTAGATTTTGCATACAGTACAGTTACACTCATTGTGCAGTGGCAGTCAAAAAAGCAAACAGAATGTTAGGAATCATTATAAAAGGGATAAAGAATAAGACAGAAAATATCGTATTGCCTGTATAGAAAGCCATGGTACGCCCATATCTTGAATACTGCATACAGATGTGGTTCCCGCATCTCAAAAAAGATATATTGGCATTGGAAAAAGGTTCAGAAAAAGGAACGGGTTCCCTATGAAGGGAGATTAAGCAGACTTGGACTTTTCAGCTTGGAAAAGAGGAGGCTAAGGGGAGATATGAGAGGAGGTCTGTAAAATCATGACTGGTGTGGAAAAAGTGAAGAAGGAAAAGTTGTTTTTATTTGTTCCCATAACATAAGAACTAGGGGTCACCAAATGAAATTAATAGGTAGCAAGTTTTAAAGCAAACAGAAGGGTGTTTTTCTTCACCAGGCGCACAAGCAACCTGTGGAACTCCTTGCCAGAGGATGTTGAGAAGGCCAAGACTTTAACAGGGTTCAGAAAAGAACTAGATAAATTCATGGAGGCTAGGTCCATAAATAGCTATTAGTCAGAATAGATAGGAATGGTGTCCCAACCTTCTGTTTGTCAGAGGTTGGAAATGGATGACAGGAGAGGGATCATGTGATGATTATTCTGTTCTGTTCACTCCTTCTGGGGGTATCTAACATTGGCCACTATGGGCAGACTGGATACTGGGTTAGATGGACCTTTGGTCTGACCCAGTCTGGCCGCTCTTATGTTCTTATGGTGAGTTTAAACTCATACATTGAAGCGTCACAAAATTTGAGCAATTTCCTTCAAATCTTAATTCCTATTGTGTGGACTATTGTGTTTGGGGGCTGCTGGAGATCTTGCGGTTTTTCAGTCTATTCTTTATTTTCCAATTATTATTACTACTATTTGTTGTTGGTTGTAACACTGAAAAGCCCCACTCAGGGTTGGGGCTTCCTTGTAGTAAACTTGTAAAAATGGATGGCAAGAGGCAACTCTTGCCTGGAATGGTTTACAAGCTAAACAGAAACACATAAAGGAAGTGGGAGTGTAATGGGGCTAGGCCTTAAAGCCATGAGGGCTATAGAGAAGTCCTCCAGGAGGCTAGAGTGGCTGTGGAGGAACCAGCCAATCAGGAGCCAGGAGGGACTATATAAGAAGCTGCAGCACTAGAGGCAGCTCACTTGTAGCTCAGACTGGGAAGGGAGAAGGTCAAGGGGCCTGGCAGGAAGAACCAAGTGCAGCTCAGAGTGGAGAACTGTTAGGACACTGTCTCCAGGGGTAGAAGCCCTGGAGGGCTGAGTAGCTGCAAGGCTTTTAAAACTGAGACAATGCAGGAACCCGCACTCGACCAAACAGGGCCGCTCATGTGAGGTGAGTGCCGACCCCGTTATGGGGAGTTTGATACCATGTACAAGAAAAAATATAGATTGATGATTAGCATGCATGTCCCGCTAGCTTCCTCTCTTTTTATCCCCGCTGAGCGAAATGGGGTGCACTTGTGCAGTATTTGCATCCATGAAGTGTGTTGAAAAGTTCACGCCACCAAGCAGACTCACACATGCAGCTTCTTTTTAAACATTCTGGCGAATGGTTATTCCTGGTGATAGGAAAAGCTACATTTAGAACTGCTCCTCGAGGGAGCCAAAAAACCGTGAGGCAAATTCTGCCATGAGTTAGACTTTGAGGCATATCGCCCTGTCAAGTCAAAACACATCTCTCATTGAAATCAAAGTCTGCTCTAGCCCTTTCCTCGGAAAGATAACCTTCAATAAAAAATGCAAAACTGAGCAAAAAGCTTGGCAGTTTCTCACTGATCCGATGTTGGGTTTGCCCAGCGTCTGAATCATGGCAGGATTTGACCTTGAGTTCCCATATGATTTTGTTATGCCTGTGACTCGGGCAGTTGTTGGGAACATTACAACATGGAGGGAAAAAAAACACTCTCTTTATTTTAAAGGGCTAATTCAAGGAACAGACCATACAATGTTATCTCGAATATTTCATCAGAAAACATCTTTTTGTTGCAAGTTTTATTTGTCTCTGGACAGTGGCAGTGTAGTTGCAGGATTGGGAATTGTGCTTTTTGGCATTTATTTTCAATGAGAGGCATGGGGGATGTTTTCTGATATGCTTGCATGACCCTGTTCTAAGAGAGCCCTTGATCTGTGACTTCATAATTTGTCATTCCTGTTCACATGCCAGCAGGAAGTTGACCGGGTGATTGGGATACTTAGAATGGTTAAGTGTATGAGTAGTTCAGAAGCATCAGAAATAATATGAAGGACTTGTCAGCGTGGCACTTACCTGCACTGATGAAACAGCATGTCAGTAAGTTTTTATTGGTAAAAATCAGTTACATTTAGAAATCTATGACAACTGGTTTATAAATTAGAAAAGTGAAGAAAAACAAATTAATGATTAACTTTTGCTTTTATGAATATTTTGAGAGAACCAAAAAAGAAGGCAATTTGTTTTGCAGATTCATAGTTGTTGTTTTTCAACCAGCCCATTTGCATGTCTTTCCCAATTTGTCATCTCGCCTACTTTGGTGAGTTTGCTTACAGACACGACGTTAAGCATGTTGTTCAGTGCTTTGCTTCTTTTGCTTCTTTCTGTTTTCTTTTCCTTTTTCAGTCCCATATTTGTGCAGTGAACTCAAAAGCTCCTGTCCAGTTTTCTTCTTTTCTCATTTCTTCAACCAATCAGAATTCAAAGACAGAAATAACCAGTTGGCATTAGAAATAATAAACTCCTCCACTGGCCATATGGATTCTAAGGGGGAAAAAAGAGAAGATAGAATGTTTGGTTTTTTTTGTTTAGTTAAATAAATCACCAATGTTAAACATGATTTTAATCAGCAAGCAGGCAACTTTGATTTATAATTTAATCTTTTTTTCATTTGTAGTCTTTAGTTATTTTCCTAAAGAGACGCTGATTCTCATTGTCTGGTAACCATTAAAGGATGGTGATTTTGCAGCTAAATACAATCTTTTCAATACATTTGGTACTTGGCTTTTGCTAACCAGGAAGATTCACTATGCCCATACATGTTTTAAAAGCAATTATACAGCTTACCTTACATTTATTCAGATTCTTAATTTTTACCTTTTTATTATGCTAGAAAATAATGAATGCTGGATGTTTTTATTTACTAAATTATTAGTTTTTGTTTGTGATTTGAGTCATGCTCTGGATGGATATTCAAATTTAATTAAGAACAACATGAACATTTATTTTGTTTAAATAAAACTAAATGTGCTGCATATGTAAGAAAAGAAAATCTATTCAAAAGTATATCGCAATACATTTTGGTTTTAGAAGTAATTGTTTTATTAAACAAAGGAAGAGAAAAACAAACCTATTCTTTCGACTCCCAATCTTTTTTATAAATTTGAATGAGCTAGTCATTGAACGGAACTATCTGAATAAATTGAAATAAAAAAAGTATCTCAGCATCTGCACAATAGATTACTAACGTAAGCTAGGTTTAGCACGTCAAACTCTGGTTTGAGGCACTTAAATCAGTGACTTCCAGCAGTTTGACTTTCTTTAAAACTTGGCAACAAACATGTACTGCTTAATGTTATTTTTGTAGTGTAATTTAAATGATTTTATTAGCGTATAATAAGTTTAAGTCTTTAACATAGGTTGTCAACTGAAAATTTAATTTAACTATATTCATTGTAAAAACAAACTCCAAACCACTCCTGTATTAATATTGCGATAAAATGGTTTTTATTTTTATTTTTTAAATAATTGATTTTTATCCAGTTTGTGGGCAGAGTAAAAGGCAGGAGCAAAGCTCTTTATACAACGAGCGTATCAGAAAACTGGAATAACCCTAATAGTTACTCTACAGAAAAAATGTGACCGAGAATCATAGATGCACCTGCCGTGTGTATGCAAGTGGTTAATTTTCACTTTCCCCACGTCAGTAACAGTGTTGTAGGAATTGTGTTGCCAGGGAATCTCCAGAGCCTTCTTCTCAAAGTAACTGCATGGCACAAAAAGGGGAAACCGCATAGATTACTTTCAGGTACGACTTGGAGAAAGAAAGGCTGCGGAGACCAGCACGTCTCCTGTCCCTTCTAAGATGCAGCGCCTACACTCAGCCAAGTCCCTGTGAAACACCTCCCGTGGGATGGGGAAAGGGAGTAGGGTCCAGAGGTGACCCCCCCACACACACATACTCCCCTCAGCTTGATCAGCGATGGGCAGAGAGATGCTCCCCCACGCTCACCGAAGGGGAAGGAAACCGGAGAGGCCCCTGTTGTTTCCGTAGGTGGAGAAACCCTACTTTTGGTTCTATAGTCCTTACAAAGCAGGCAGCTTTCGAGGATGAATCAGACTAGTAATCACACCTTGCATTTGCATAGTGCCTGCTACCTGAGATCCTCTAGCCCCCGTGACTACCGTTACCATTGTGCCAGGAGGCAAGAAAAGCCGGGGCTTAGCGTGTTCTGACTGTTCCCTTACTCCCCTGGCCTCCGCTGGACTGAAACGCCCCTTCATGCACAGAGGGGCAGTAGGGAGTGGAACCTGAAATCTGCCCCTTCCAATGCGCCAGCCAGCACAGCTCAGGGGAAATCACACGTACCAGATGCAGGACTGGCCGAGCAAGAGGGGCACAGAGGAGCCAGAATAAATTTGCATCTGCACCACAAAAAAAAAAAAAATGCGACCGTCTCCGAGTCTCTCGCTCTGATTTGGGTTCTCGGGGTTTGAGCCATGGGGCTAAAAATAGCAGTGCAGTGTGGTGAGGGGAATGGATCTCAGAGCTCCACCGCCCCCCAATGCCCATACTTCTACTTTGAGCCCCACAGCATAAGCCCATCAACTGTCCGGCTCTGAGACTCCCTCCTTATTTTTTTTTGCAGTGTTATCCATGCCCTCGGAGACACCAGCTGGTGCCCGGTCTGCTCCGGCGGCAGCATAACTCCGTGCTGTCGCTTCCTTGCTAGGGCTTGGGGATACATTACAGCTGAGCCTGAATTCACCAGACCCTCCACTGGTGTAAATTACATTGATGTCCATTGTGGCCAGTTAACATCAGCTGAACAGCTGCTTATTTTTAATGTACAGTATCTAACACCGCTTTAGTGAGCTGCTTGATTTGTTTCAAAAAAAATTGGTGACGATTTAGTGCTGCTAATACCCATCCGGATCTAACTCCTGTTGCAGTCCGTGGCTGGTGGAATCTCTAGTGTCTGCTGTTTGCAAAGGCTGGTTTGCAAATTGTGCTCCCAGATGTTTAATGATAGGTGTGCAGATTGCATTGTTTGGTGTCTTTGGATAATCCATGGCTCTTCTAAGAAAGATGCGGAATAAATTAAGATAAAAGATGGATTGCTCTTGACAGAAGAATATACATAGCTCCTGGCAGCTCATTAGATCAAGAAGCAGCTGTTCAGTCAAGTTCCAAATTTTAGGAGAAAAAAACCCCTAGAAATAACAAAACTTTTCCTGCCTGGTGCTCTCTGCCTTTCTTGCCTGGCTGGGCTCCCAGGATAGACCTGATTCCTCCAGTACCTGGCATAGCATCTTCCTGGGCAACAGGTGGGTGGAGGGCATGCAGGGTTACGTGCCCCTGCCCGAGATTTCTGCCAGGGTTCTCACCAGAAAGTGGCCTTCCAGCGGCAGGGGAGGAGTGGGGGCAGGGGGAAATCATAGAGTCATAGGGCCAGCAGAGAATTCAGGAGGCATTGAGTCCAGCCCTCTGCCCAAGGCAGGACCGACCCCAATTCAATCCTCCCAGCCAGGGCTTTGTCAAGCCAGGACTTAAAAACCTCTAGGGATGGAGATTCCACCCTCTCCCTAGGGAACCCATCCCAGCGCTTCCCCACCCACCTAGGGAAATAGTTTTTCCTAATCTCCAACCTAGACCTCCCTCACTGCAACTTGAGACCATTGCTCCTTGTTCTGCCCCACTGAGAACAGCCTCTCTCCATCCTCTTTGGAACCCCCCTTCAGGGAGTTGAAGGCTGCCATCAAGCCCTCCCCCTCAGATTTCAAAACTGGGAACAATGGAACTCATGCAGAGATGAACCGGCGGAGAGCCTGGAATAGTCTTCTCCTAAATAAGCCCAAATCCCGCCAATGATCTGGCGAGCTCATCTCTCTTCCCTCCCGCCATCACTCCAATATGGCTGAAAGCAGCTTGCCAGAAGGCAGCTAACATCTCCAGCCTGCCTCTGCTACCCAGATAACCCAGCCGCCTCCTGCCCCCTGGCTACAGCACAGGCTGGAAGGAGTTAAGGCCTAAGGATGCATTGAGCACCAGGGCCCAGGGAGCCTGACTGCAGCGGCTTTAGCAAACCCAGCCAGAGAGGTGGCTCAGCAGGGGAGGCGGCCCCACGGGATGGAGGAGGGCTCTGGTGGGGACAGAGCAGGCCTCGAGCGGACAGAGCAGGCCTCAAGCAGGATGGGGGCAGTGGACGAGAGTGCCAGGCTTCTGCCCCGGGGGGCCTCAGGCTGGAAATTGCTTCCCTTCTCACTACTCCTGAAGGGCAGAGGTTTCCCCATGCCAGGGATGTGCTGGGGCTTTGGCACGGGGGGGCTTGGCTCTTCCTGGCCAGTGCCCCCGGCCAGAGGTTCTTGGCCTCTCCAGGGCACTGGCCTAGCCGGAGGCAGTGGGGAAGGAAGGAGCCTGTCGACCAGGCTGTTAATGAGCTGAGCGCTCTGACCAGGGGCCGGTTGACCGTACAGCGCTGTGCCCCAATGGGATGTAACTGGCCGCTGCCTCGTACCAGCCTGCATTTTCCAACTACCGCAGCCAGTGCCAGCTAAAACCGGGATGTGGGGCAGGGCCCTGCTGGCGCAAAGCACGGGCTGCATTGACAGGCCAGCAGGGGGCGCAACTGGCCCCATGCACTTTATTTTCACCCTGCCTCCAGCCTGGCACACCCACCCCCATCACTGGCCGCTGGACCTGCCCCCTCTCGCTGCTGGTGAGCAGGGATCCAACCAGTAGCAGGACCTGCCAGAACTGATGGGAGGAGGCAGAAAATATGGGAGAGCTTGCCAATTTTTAAGAGAAAGTCGGGACACCGTCAGGAGGCCTTAAATAAGGGGCCTGTCCCTTTAAAAAGGGGACGTCTGGTCCCCCTCCTCTGATTAAAATAGGAGATGAAATCCCTTTGAGAATCTATGAACTGTTCTTAAAGCAGCTTAAAGAGTAGATTTGTGGGAGATTTGCAAAATTAGGCGCAACTCGGCAGAGATTTATGCGAGTGCACTCTGCTTGTTGGAGTAATCCTGGTGACGTGAACGGGACTAACTCCGGTGAGATTGGAGAGTCAGGGTGCAAGCTCAGGACCAGGGAAAACTAGGCCACAAGCTTCCTCTGTCCAAGGTCCCAAGGGCTGAGACAGGAAGTCTCAGTGATTGTGCCTTAGTTCTCCTTGTGTGCAGTGGAGTTAGCTCTGCCTTGCCTCACAGGGCTGTTGTGAGGTTAAATCCATTAAAGATGGACGGGCGCTTAGGCCAGGTCTATACTAGACCTGGAAACGCATCTTCAGGTCCGCAGCTTTAGTTACATAGAATACGTAGCTGTAGTCGGCTTATCTTAAGCCAAGCTTGATGGCATCCCCTCAGCAGGAGGCCGATGGAAACAAATGCTCTCATTGGCTTCCCTTAGGGTACGTCTAGACTACATGCCTCTGGCGACAGAGGCATGTAGATTAGGCTACCCGACATAGTAAAATGAAGCGGCGATTTAAATAATCACCACTTCATTTAAATTTACATGGCTGCCGCGCTGAGCCAACAAACAG